CTACCAGAAAGTCAAATATGGTTGGGCGTTCATTAGAAGACACGAATTGTTCTTCCATACCTTCCTTCACTCTGGTTGGTGTGTCTCTATGGTTCATGAAGACAGAGGTGGCTCTGTACAGTCACTCACTCCTTAAATCAACAAATATGGACAAGTACCTGCCAACTACAATGACAATTCTAGTCTCTGAGGAGACACCAATAATTAAAACACACAGAAACCTTTCACTCCTAGAGATAACACTGCAGTTGGAGGGATAGGCAGAAACAAAACATGTGGCTATTAACTGGTGTTGAGTCAGTTCCAACTCATAGTATCATTATATAGGGCTTTCAAACTTGTAATTCTTTGCAGGAGCAGAAAGCCTCATCCTTTTGGGGAATAGGTGGTGGGCTTGAACCACTGGCCTTGTGATTTGCAGTCCAGTGCTTACCCTTCAGAGCCATCGTGCTCCCAAACAAAACATATATATAATCAAATAAGACAGGGCAAGAAGAATAGAGAGAAGCTGGTATTTTAAATAGAGTAGGCACACAAGGCTTCTCTTATCATAAAGCTGAGAAAACTGAGACCTGCATGAAGGTAGGGTGGTACCAAGATTTTAGGTGAACGATATTGCAGGCACAGAGAGAGCAAGCAATGGGGGGCTGGACCAGCGATACCCAGTAGGCACGATCATAGTGCCACAAAGTTTTCTACATCCTAATCTGGCCGTTCTTATATGATTGTGTTTGCCATTTAATCTAACAGTTGAAATTGTTGTTGTTGTGAAATGCCATCGAGTCGGTTCCAACCCATAGTGACCCTGTACTGGGTTTCCGAGGAGTAGCTCTGCTCTGCTCCAGTAAGAACAACCAGAGTGCTGTTATAAGAACAAGCAAGCTGTTCGCCTGGGAGTCATCAAAGCAAGAAAAGGCAACCCATCAGGATAAATCCCTTTCCAAGACTGAAACTCAAAGGAACACAAAAGGAGGCTTGTAAACTCGCTGGTGACCGCCTTGGCCTATGTGTGAGTGGAAGTGGGGGACAGCCAGCAATATAAATGAAGACGTGAGCTGAGTTCGAACACATTCCATAGACTCCTATCAACCTTGAGAGGAGAGAGAGAAGAGGAAGGGCTGGTTGGTTCAAAGTCTGGAGAGACTTGGGAACTCCTGAGCCCACAGACACTGACCTAGCCACTGGGGGCTACAGCTGAGAATGAAGCATCCAGCTGACCTGAAGTCGGGGGAGGTGTGTAAGAATGCCCAAACTTGCAGATAGTACCCATTTGACCTAGCGTGGACGGATGGCTGACCAGAACTCAACTAGGCGAAGATAAAGAAGTTTGATCCAGGAAGCAAGTGTAAATTTCTATAATTTGATTAACTTAAGATAACATAGTAGTTATGAATTGGGCTGCTAACCTCAAGGTCAGCAGTTTGAAACTACCAGCTGCTCCGTAGGCGAAAGATGAGGCTTTCTGCTCTTGTAAAGATTTACAGCCTCGGAAACCCTGTACAGGGTTGCTATGAGTCAGAACCGAATCCACGGCACATAACCACCACTAACCTTTGCTTATAGATGTAGTTGTTCAAAATTCCAACCAAGAGGGACAGAGTCTTCACATCAAGGATTAAGCCTATTCCTTTAGGGCACAACGTTGATAGGGACAGTCTACTTAAGACACTGGCTATCAAAACTGGGGGCTATAAAAGGCACAATATGGCTGGCTTACAAGTTTTCAACAGTGTGCTAAGAACAAGGTGGATAAAGTACAATCCCTACTGAATAGTTTTCCTCTTGGATCTGGTAAAAGGGGAAGAGGGGATGGGGAGAGGAGTCTTTTGATTCAATTCGGAGTAATTGTTACCATGATTAATTGCGATTCTCATAACTCTAAAGGTATAAGATGTGAAAGAAAAAGGGGGGAGTAGTTAATCTTTCATTCCAGTAAGAGAGGATCATAGGACCATCAAGAGGGAAGAGCAGGAGTGGAACGTGGGACCCTAACTAGAGAAGTAGTGACCCCAAAGATGGAAACAGAGGCAATGACATAGAGAGACAGAGCGGCTGAGGACTCTGACCCATGGAATAAGAAAGGCTGTGTGCCTGCGGGTAGGAGGCTGGCTTGTACAATGTGCCCTTTGGTCTTTCAAATGAATATTTGTTTTCTGTGTATTTTGTGTACATCAAAAAAGAAAAAAGAGGAACTAGAGGTAAATACTGTTAACCGATGGTGCATGGAGAGGATTGTAATCATAGCAATGAAACAAAATCTGATTGGTTGAGTGCAAGGCTGATGATTTGCCTTGTAAGTTATCACTCAATTTATAATAAAAGCTTAAAAAACAAGAATAGCCAGAGTGATATAATGTTGATGGCTTCGGCTTTGGCCTTGGAGGACAGAGGCCGTAAGCCAAGGAAGAACTTTGACAGCCTCCAGAAACTAGAGAAAGCGAGAAAAAAATGAATGTTTCCCAACTGCCTCCACTAGGCAAAATAGCCCAGCAGATACGTTTCTTGTGACACAGTGAACCGGATGTTTGAGAAACAGAACAATGTGACAGGAAGACACTGTGCAAGGAAAAAAGAGAAACTGTACTCGGAGAGGAAGCCGGCCCTGCAGACCGGACCACGCAGGATGCTATGAGTCATCTAAAATGGGTGTTTTCACCCAATTCACAATAAAAAGTTGGGGGAAAAAGGGAAAAAAAGATTTTTAACTCTAAGAAACCTAAGAAGCTGCCATGGGTTTTGAGTAGAGGATGACGTAATTGGACTTACATTTCCCCTGGGTCAGGATGGCAGGTCATGGTGATCAGAATATAGGAAAAGAAGACTCTAAGAAGGGACATCAATCCAAAGGCTGTTGTAATAATCCAGGAGAAAGGTTTGCCAATTTGATCAGGGTGATGGCAAAAGAGAGGCAGAAAGTAACCCAGGTGGACAAACATCAATAAGGACTCCTAGTAGCAGGTTCTGATCTGAATTTCCTTGCCTTTCAGTTGCTGTTTTCATCACCCCCAGAGCCTTTTCCCATTTCTAAGTGAAATACTCATAAAGTCATCAGAAGCAGTGTTTCTGAAACACTTTTTGTTCTAAAGATGGTGCACTTGTCAAAATACCATTAATTTCAAGACCCAAATATATATATACATAACTATGTTTTGCTCAAGCACAGGCTGACCTACTTCGAAACCAATGTCTCTTAAATAAATCTCCTCCCAAAGACTCACTTCACCAGTACAACGACTCCAGTTTGTGTTGCTACGTGTTCCTTCCTTCCAAATGAACCCTGCTAATTTCTGTTTCATTTCATACCACAATGTTTGTAGGTGAGTCAGTTCCCCAAACGCAGGTGACCATTCTAAGATGATTCAAGACCTTGAAAATCTGAGGAGATCCAAGACACCCCCATGCCCATGGTCCCACGCAGGGAGGTTGTCCTCACCCACTGACACCAGGTTCCGGAAGTTCTCAACCATCACATCTTGGTACAGATTCTTCTGGACAGAGTCCAGCAGTCCCAGCTCCTCCTCACTGAAGACCACAGCCACGTCCTTGAACGTCACCGATTGCTGCAACATCAAGCACAAGTATACCCAGTATTAGAACTACTATCCAATTGAAAAGGTTGGGAGGATGGGTAGAAAGTTGTTTCAGATTTTGAGGAATTTCAAATAATGTGTAGATTTCCCTGCCCTTCTTCTATCTTGCCAGCGCCATATGTGGATTCTCCTCAGCGTCACCCCGGAGAGCGGCAAGGAATGAGAGCCCTTGCGTTTGCACTTGGTGTCCTCAGATACTGACCTCCAGAGTTCTAAATGTTACATGCTGGGACACACACATGGTTTACTTTTTGATTCACACTGCCAACTGCTCAGAAAACATGGCCAATTTCTTTTCAATACAATATGAAAGCAGCCGCCATCCTCCTGGGAGTCCTGGTGTGGAGCTGTGGGTTAATGCGCTGGACTGCAACGTCAGTTTGAGCTACAAGGTCAGTGGTTCAAGCTCCCCAGTCACTTCTCGGAAATCCTATACAAGGTCACTGTGGGTCGGAACTGACTTGACGGCACTTAACAACAACAACCATTGTCCTACTGAACACATAGATTTCTGATGTTTGCCAACCTAATCAACTCTGGGGATCCTCTTGGACAGGTGTATCGTATATGGTCTCAAACACATACCATTTCCATGAACTCCAATAGTGAATGCACTGAGTTGTAGCTACCACATCCAAGTGTATATCGCTACGATGGGTCCCCTACACGTCTCAGCTTCCCCTTTGTATAATAGTTCAATAGTTAGTGCTGTAAAAGCTGCTATTAAGGAGAATCAAGGAAACACATATGTATGTATACACACATACACCACTCATAACATGTTTGACTTTGTGTTGATAAGTACTGTCTAGTCAGTTCCGACTGATAATGACCCTGTATAGGGTTTCAGGAGTCCTGGTTGTTGCACTGTAGGTTAATGCACCAGACTGCAAAGCTGTTTGAACTGCAAGATTGGAGGTTCAAGCTCACCAGCTGCTCCTCGGAAACCCTCTACGGGGTCGCCATGGGTTTCAGAGGGTTTAAATCTTTACAGGAGCAGGAAGCCTCATCTTTCTCCCAGGAAGCAGTTGGTGAGCTCAAACTGCTGACCTTGTGGTTTCCAGTCCAGTGCTTACCATATGGAGCCACCATGCTCCTGGTTTGACACTTAGAAATGCTTAATGAACATTATTAATATTAGAATGATTATGATGATCATAATTGGAGTCCTGGTGTGGCATTATAGGGTAAGCACTGGATGGTTAACTGGAAGGTTAGTGTTTCAAATCCACCAGTGGTTCCTTAGAAGCCTTATAAAGGGTCTCTATGACTCAGAACGGACTTGACAGCATTTAACAACACAGTCATAATTGCTATGTATCTCTACCCCTTTCTTGGATGTACAGCATTCCAGGTGAAAAACAAAGAATTTGGCTGACTTTTGTCCTTGATTACTGGGAAGCTGCTTCTAAACACTTAGATTTTCTTCAGTTACTGGATTAGCTCTGTTATTCTTGATGGCCTCCTGGGGCCAGATCTAGAAGTTTAAACTAATATGACTCGGGATGAGAGCTGCCCACACCAGATCATGGGATCAGAGGTTTGGCACTCTATCTCTTATGACACCAGCCCAACTTCCGGGATGGGGGCTAGGGGTGGCTTGATGTGAAGTTCAATCGTGCAGCCTTGGTTCAATCAACCATGTGTATGGAATGAAATCCCAACCAGTGCTCTGGACAATATCGTCTGCAATGTGACGCACTGATTTGCCAGGAGTGTAAACTCTCCCTGAGGAGAGCTTCCTGCCCTCGTTCTGTCCCTTGTGCTGGGTTTGATCTAGAACTTTCTGCTATAGTAGAACTGACATTTTAAGTACTCGTACAGTATTTCTTGAGTTCTGTGAGCTATTTTAATAA